TTAGGTGCTTGTCTCATTACTATAATGAAAAGAAACGATAAATGCATAAATACAAACTGCTAAAGAATCCAATCTTATTTGCTTTAACTGTTTAAGCGTCCGAAATACCAGAGCGCTCGCTTTCAAAGAGAAAATAAGGAGAATAAGCTTATGAATTCAAGCCATAACATTATGAGTTGAATGTTTGTTACGTACGAAGATTCTAATTGTCTGCGAAAGATGGAGATAAAGGCGACTGATTTCGTCACAGATTCATAATCAAACTAGGAACAAATATGAAGAGTAAACGGATATTATGACGTCAAAATTTCCGCTACTTGATGTCAGACGTGATTGCGAATGTTATGATGGTGGCTTATTTTGAGGTGATTAGTGAAATTAAAGTGCTTAGAACATTAGGATAAACTAATAAAATAAAATGCCGGCAGAAAACCAAACCGCTGCAGATTATTTTCTAAGACAATTGTTAGAAGGTCAAGGACATCTTCTTCGCCTTCCTGTTACAATCATTAAACGAGGCCTCTCAATGTGCGTAGTGAAAGGAATAAGCTAACAAGGAGAACAAAAGAAACGCAGTCAATTTTCTTGATGAAATGGAGTCGCTGAGCTGAGAGCGGGGAGGTAATAAGCGGCCTGTTCTTTAATTACTAAGGACAGCTTTACATGTCGTCTATATAAAAATTGAGGGACAATAGCCAAAGATTAATGTAAAAATTCGGGAAAGCAAAAATATTTCAAACGATGAAAAGAGGTTAACTAAGCAGATATAGAGTAAAAATTGTATTAGCATTATGCATTGAATCAGTGTGTTTTTACAATTAAAATAAACTGCTCAAAGCTTGGTAAAGATGTGAAAACAGGTCCCTAATTTTACCTGTTTTAGAGAATAGAAAACGTAGCTGGATATGCCTTAAGACAACATAAAACAAAAATGTTCGTGAAATAACGATAGGCTCAAAAAGAACGTCTCCACATTCCCTCTTCATGCAAGTTTTTTTTTTTCGATTTTGATTCATCTAGGTCTAGTTGAACTCCTTAAAAGCACATTCTTAGTGAAACAATTAACAATAAACCATCCAACTCTCTTCGCGTCAAAACATTTGCACGAAACGTTTCAGCGGAGAAATAACGTGGGAAGCTCGCGACGAAAGATCATCAAAACAATGCAGACGCGACGATGCATATAGATGTAAATATGGTTTTAAGCCCGAATACAAGCCTAAGCCATGATTAGCGGCTATGAAGGCAGTACTTAGAGGGAGGGGATGAGGAAGAGAAATGGAAGGTAGATATGGGTAAGCAACGTGGGAATAGCAATTAAGCAT